TGCAATAACATTAGTAAAGCGGTTTTCCCCTGAAACGTAATACCTGTTTCATTTAAATAAATAATATACGGATGTTTTTCCATTCCTTTTCGGTTTGTTGCCTCGATTGTTGCTGATTAGTTGCATTGTAACTATAGTTGTGAAGATTTGGTTGTCACATTACAATGAGTATTAGTTTCAATGAAATGAGGTTTGAAATAATTTTTGGACGTTGTTCAAATGCTAAAAATCCGATTGTGGCATAGTTGCTGTATATCGAAAATAATGCGAATTTAGAAGAGGATAGAAAGAGAAGAGGATGTGGCTTTGCTTCTTTCAGTGAATTGTCGCTTCTAGTCCAAAGCCTTATTTAATATTCATGATGTCTAAAAACGGCTGTGAAGTTTAAGGTTGTTAAAAAATATCTTTCACAAAGTAGCTTTAGTACAATTTTCAGTATATTTTTCGCTAATTAATTTATTTTTTGCGATAAAAACATGCATATCATGTATGATTAGAAATTCGAAATTTAATATAATTCAGTGAGTAATTATATTGTACAAAGATGTTAACGTTAACCGGTCACTTAAACCAGTTGTATTATACAAACTGTTGAACTATGAATAACGTAAACGTCGTATTTGGTACGACACTGTTATTTATTTTTTAAACGGTATGTTATATTCGTTGCATTTCGAATTTATATTCGTGAAGAAATAGTGATGAAGAAATAGTGAAAAAATAACCTTCATCTCATCTTCGGCTTATTTTGGAGCAAATGATATTTAAGAAGTTGACGGTTGATATTCGTATTAATCTTATAAAATATTTCTCAGTTCTAATTTTTAATATGTTTTAAAAATATTGCGTTAAAAACTAATTGAATGTCAAAAAAAAAATTTTCAATAGCCAATGCGTAATTTATGAGAAATATAAACTCCGTCATTCATAATACCACTTCTGCAGATTTATTTAAGCATTGATCGGTCATTCATTCTTCCGCAATTTGTGCTGTGGCCTTTTCTCCGTTTTTTACATACTTAGGTACGTTTAGAAATTTAATCAAAATATGATAATGTATATTTTCAGTATATGTATTTACTAAATTGTACATCATTTATATACACGGTAAGAATTATCAGAATTTTGTTAATCGTTTGCATGTGATTGTCTATTTTAAAGTTTGATTGTATTTGAAAGTATTTAAGCAGAATACCCAGAAATATATTTTTTATTTTGGTGTTTCTGTCATCCTCTGTACACAAAGCGAGAAATATTGGGATTTTTCGATATAAATTGCTCTTATTGAAGAAAATATTACGAGATTTATTAAAAATATTTGAATGTAATTGATATTGCATATTGCATTGCGCATAAGTGGCTGAGTGGTTGCAATTCTGATAACAATTCGAGTTTAATTATATGTTTCGTTAAAATCGTTCAGTCGCAAGTACGATCATCAATCATAAATTACAAAACAAGCAGCACATATAATTATCCATCAAACATGCAAAACAATTTTTTATTACTTTCTCCTCTATTAAATTAAACTTTTGTTAGGAAAACAACGGATATAAAAAACAAACGAAGAAAGATTAATGAGCTAAAATCTAACAGCAGGAATAGTAAAATATTTAACATACAATCGTCATTCGAGACGTAGAAAAATTTCTAAAACGTGTCGAAAAAATCACCCATAGATATTATTATTATTTATTACTTCATCTATACAGGTATTTTTTTAATTTAACAATAGGATTGCACTTGAGTAGACAACTTAAATCTTAAATCTTAAACCTTAAACCTGAGAAAATTCACCGATGTTTATTTTACGTTTTACCCATACGGAACATTATAAAAAATTAAACATTCATAAAAAATATGAAGAAATATTTAAAAGTTCAAGGAGAAAGCAGATTTTTCAACTTTTTACGGTCAAATGTTATGTTACGTATGTAATATTTGGTTCGATTTTTTCCACTTATATTTAAAAATAGTAAAATGTATAGTCACTATTGGTTACAAAAATGTGAAAATATACCTGTCTAAATTATGCATTTTTTTAAGCTGTAACTTACTAATCATAGACCATTTAGAATAAAATGTCGAATACTGCACAGATTATGAAGGATTAATTAAAATTTGACAGATTCTTCCACAAACAGCCACACGAAAGTATGTATCATTTTCTGCCCTCCTTTCTATTTTTCTCTTTCTTATTCAAAGGTATGTAGCATCTTCTCAGTCTCTTTTTAAACTTGTACCAAACAAAGGGACAAAGATCGCACACAGACGTTTGACTTTCGGTTTAATAAACACGATAAAACAAATTTCACTGTGCGCAGCATTCATATCAGACGACTCTATCGCGTATTCACGTCAAGAATTCACATATTTTTGACGCTGCTGTTCGTAATCTATCGCAACGATTCTTACGTTATTATCGCGATGGCGTACTTTTGGCAGGTTGTGTTACTTATCTAAGGAACGTGACGAGCTGCACGTAAAGTGTACGATATCGAACGTTTTGTCTCGATGTTGCAGTTTATCTATAATATATCGTATCAGTCTACAGATAACGAGGTCACTGGGAGGAACGAGAGGAAAAAAGATTTCAAACAAGGTGTACGCGCTCTTTAATACTGTATACGTCTTGTAAATCACAGAATCGCAGGTTATTGTCAATTTAAGTCAATTTATACGATTATGATTCGTGTTAGAAAAGAATGTTTCGTATTTAATATGCTTCAACAATTTCTGTCGTCGAATGGCGCGGCGGAAATTAAGAAAGATAATAGTTAACTGATTACACGAATGTTTTTCTGCTGTCTCTAACGTTTAAAACAAAACGATGTGCACGGCGACGAGCTCAGTATCAATTGTTCGCCTCTCAAGGTGATTCGATGGTGCACAATAGTTATTGAATACTATCGATATGGATATCAATATTGAACGTGGTAAAATGCGATCGTTTTGAAGAAAAAATATTTCCGATTGAACCATATACGTGTCTGGAAGTTGTTCTTTGTTATCGAATAGCTGTTTCGTTTGTATCGTTTATAACTTGGCACGGTGAAAGGTATTTGCCATTCTGGATCACTATTAGAGAATGCGTATCGAGTGTCTATTTACTTGAATTAGAATGCGCATTTTTCGGTAATTCGGTAGAGAACTTGAAGAAGTCAAAGTGTTTTTAAGAAAACTCATTGTTATACATAATATGGAAGTTTGTAAATGGTTTTAATAACTATTCCTTTCCTTTCTTTTTTTTTTGTTTACTATTCGTGACCAATTGTCAGAGTAAGATTTACGTCGTTTGTTTAACGAATTTATTTGATTAAATGCAACTATAGAATTCAAAAGCAAATTTTTACCACAATATTTAATTAACAGTAGCGAATAATATTTACTTCTGAGAAAAAGTTTATGATCTCTTGAAATTCATAAAAGAGAGTAAATTAATCAACCTCCTAATATAATATAAACAACAAAATGTATTCATATGGAGCACAATATGCTGATTCGTCAAATTCTCGCACACCTTTCTCATTTTGCAGTTGAAGCGACATTAAACGTTAAGTAAGAAAAACATACTATATATCTCGATTTTGAGAATTGGTAACGACAAAGGCACATCCCATGGATTTCTTACGCGGATGACAATGACGCACCCTTATACATTGACGTTTTTGATTTCAAAACGTAAACATAAAAACGATCGTATGACACATATTTCGTGGATTACGTGATAACATACACGCCGCCGAATGTAGTGCCAAGGACATCGAGGTTAGTGGTCTATTTAGGTCAAGGCTAAATTGTGATCAGTATTTGTATGCATATACGCCCTACCTCTGAAGAAACTGTGTAACTGACTATCTCAGCCCTTCTCGGGCATATGTGCGCACTCATTGTCAGGGACCTTTGACTGCTCTGCTATTTAACGTTTCATTGATACGTCTAGCTAGACGTTTAGCTAGCTATACGTCTAGCTAGCTAAAGTTTACTTTACGTTTACTGAAACCTTTAAAATATTCCATAAACATCTGCTCTTGTAACTCTAAAATCATTGATTGTTTCATTTGTGTAGATATAAATAGGATTACTAGGTTACGGATATTTATATAAATTCATATTCTTATGAACGAAATTAAAGAAATGGTAAGTATCTAAGCAATTTGCAAAATATTTTATATGAAAACACTTTCCGATGGTTATATGTATACATATAACTTGGTATGCAATATGAAAAAATAAACAAAATTATATAATTTTTAAATTTTATCGATTACTTATTGATTAATTTTCTGAATATACATATGTAGGACTAAAACAAAATGACGAAGTGAGTAGAAAATTGCGTTAGAAGTTTCAGTTCTAGACTTTTAATATTGATTACGCTTGAATTGATAATTCAATTTAATAATTGTTATCATTCTTATATTTAAAAAATGAATAAAAATTTCGTAAAATAATTCAACTACGCGTTTCACTACCTATACGAGATGCATCATTACCTATTACGATCTACAATCTGTAATAAAAATCTAATAAATTAATTTTTTATAAAATGATTTAAAATCAACAATGATATAAGAACTTTGGGAAAATACACATACTTATAATGCGGTAGAAACAAATACCTTAGATATATTGGTCTTCCATAAATATGCTACGCGCCTATTTAACTTCTGATAATGTAAGATTATTAATTACGATATCTGACATTTGTTTTATTACATCTCTGAGACCACTTATATTCGTCATTTTGTCGTTTTTAATTTAGAAACGCTGTTTATAAGTAGTTGATTGAATTTGATTTATGTTTAAGTTAAAACGGTTGCCATTATAGAATGACCTATCTCTTTCTGTTTAAAAAATCAACGAGCTGTTATTACAAATTTCACGACATACTCAGATCTACATTCCTAACGATTAGTCAGCTTGCGAATGCATATAAGCCAGTTCGCAAGAACAGTTTCGTTTTTTCGATTAAGATGATGCGATGCATTATTTTTCAGGCGATGGTGGCTTGTTATCCTGGTCACGGTTCGCATTACGTGAAACATGTGGATAACCCCAATCGAGATGGAAGATGTATCACAGCTATATACTATCTTAACCGAGATTGGGATATCAAGGTAAGATCTATGTGCATGCCATGAATAAATATGCAAAGAAATTTATATCACTTAAATGAAAATTTAGTACCGAAATACATATTTAGTTATTTTTATCATTATACTAAGGCTTCAATAGATAAAATAGTTATTTGCGCTTGATTGTACTAATTTCTTAATGTTCATAATATATTTCTAACAAATATATAATTAAATACAGATAAGATATATTGAAAATTCCATCAAGTTTCTCCATCTTCTTTTATAACTCATCAATAAGCTGTAATCTGCAATTTACAAATATAATTTTATGTTACATTGCTAAGTGATTTTTATTAAGATTTAAAATTTTGTTCTATTCTTGCCTTTTTTAATTCTAAAATAATGCATGAACAATTTTATAGTCCAAAGTAGCCACTACAATAATGATGTGTGCCTTCTGAAAACTAATTTCCTGTGAGGTATAGATTTCAGGGCCGTCCCTTTGAGTGATGTTTCATGAGTTTTTCCTTTACTTTAATGATTTTGTGTAGTCTTTCGAAAGTGTCTATTTTCGTTTGGTTACAAATAGTAAGTAGATAGAAAATCACAACTTTACGAAGTCAATTCAAAATACAAATTTCTATTATAATTTATTCACATTAGAATAGAAGTTTTAAAGATGTGTGTATATACAAGAAATGCAACAGTATCGTGCTAGAATAGATGTCTGATTGATTGAACTTTAGTTGAATCCACTTATCTGAAAATTCACATTCTTTGAGTGAAAAAATTCAGTGATTTCCTGTATGAACTATTTAACCCCCCTCATTTTCGAGTAAATGTTCTGCTTCGCTTAACCTTTTGGTGGTGTAATAAGATAACATAAAATCAACACTATAGAAAATAATTAACAATCCTTTTTATCGTCGAGTCATTGCATTTTTGGTATTACATATAAGGGACATGTACATACTTCCAACTTTTTACAACAAATAAATATTAATAATAATATTACGCATGGTAATATATGTACAATATATACAGGATATTGTAATTTAGTATATTTGAATGATACACTTGTGAGAGAGTTAAATTCGTTAAGTTAATCAGAAGTGATTGTAAAAAGGTAACAAATTACAAACTGTACAAAAAATAACGATTTGTTTATATTAATGTATGTATATATTTCTATTCTTGTATTATAATAAATTGTAATGATCATATAATAACTAGAATCGTATAATAATTTACAATAAATTATAACAATAACAGCATGATGACTCGTTTTCACATGTACTTTCCTTATTACTTCAACCTGCACGTGCGACTATGCGTGTTTGAATGTTAAAAGTGAGGACACTCTGAGAAAGGGTAGGCGATAGAGTTGAATAGAGCACGAAGGGCATCCAGGGCCTACGTGAGTTGCCCCATGTAACGCTTCCGTCTCGCACATGCACGAGAATCTCGTATTGAGCAATGTTTACGTTGACCTACACAGAAAATAGGGGCTGTCAAACATATGCTGTCTTGAAAAATATAAAAGCACCGTTTGTAGAATGTCTCATCTCACAACGTATGCCTGTTCCTGTTACCTTAACCGTGAATGAATACATACATTTCTTTCGAACAAGAACATTATTAAAGAGAAACTTGATGAATTTGTGTAAAGTCCTCATGTTTATATTGACCTCTTTCCGAACAAGCTTTGAGTCTGGAACTTTTGTATCTCTAAATGCGTTCAAATTTTGCTTTAATGAAAGAATTAAAAAGTTAACGAACTTAAAGAACCCAGAAGTTTTCTTTATTGAAGTAGCTCATTTTTAAGAAAATTCATATTGTAATCAATCAACGAATTAAAAAAGAAAGATAGGAGTAATTGATTTAGAAATTCACCCTCATCACCGATTTTGATGATTTTTGAATATATCTTCGAGGTCCTGATATTGGGAAACTTTTTTCTATACATGTAGCGGCCGCTCGATCCTACTTTCCGAGATATTTGCAAAAAAACTGTCGATATCACTACAGTGAATTCTATCTATAAATATACGTCCGCGGCAGCGTATGCGTTAGTATTGGTTGTCAGCCGCCTTGCGGTGGCCGAATACAATGCCTTAACTCAAACCTAACTCTTATCTTTTGTTTATGGTTAGTATGTATGAACGAGAGTTGGGCGAACTTGAATATTACAATATTTGGATCATTTCTATTAAGCTGGACGAAATGTCTGCTATAACTCAATTAAACACAAATATCATCAATGTATTCGGTTTAGTTTTGGGTTATTTTTCTCAATCCGGATGCAGTGAGGAGACCGGCAATGCTTGCGTAAAATAGTAATAAATTCAATATAGGGACAAAATGATTAAGAGACTCAAAGGTGAAGAGAGTCAAATCTTTTACGCTACTTATAGCCAGATCTGTGATAAGATTTAAATAATGAGTCTCAAGTACATAAACACAGGACTCAATGTGCTAAGAATGACAGCTTTTTACGAATATCTTGGAAGCTAGGGCGTAGCAGTTACATATATAGAAAAAAATTGTTCGGAATCATCTACTCTCCCTGCCGACAACATACATATTAAAAAATCGTCGAAATCGGTGATGAGAGTAAACCTCTAAATAATTAGTTTAAATTTAATTATTCTAAATAATCGAAATAAGAATTTATATCACAACAATTTCATGCTGAGTAATACAAAATATTACTATATTTAAAGAGTAATCTTTATATAAATGTCAATAGTAAAAGTACGTATGTTCTTGAATTTGTGTTTATTTTATTTAAACTTTCGCTATTGTTTTATCTTCACATCTGCAAATTTAATCATTAATTTTTTCTATTTTTCATTGAAATATTATATTGGGACAAATAATATTGTGACTCATTAATACTTAATGAGTATGATTGGTAATAAATTATGAATAATAATGTATTAAAGAATGAACATCTTTTGTATTAAATTGTATTAAACAAAAAACATCTCACACGGAAATTGCAAGACTGCCAAATCTCGAATGAATTAGCTGTACGTATGTGTATTTGATGCTTTAGGCTGATGGTAAAACAGCTTCGAAAGATTTTGAGTGCACGATCTTTTGTTTTCGAGAAATTAATAACTTTTTTATATCTTATTTTATAAATTCTTTTAATATTAATATTATGTTTTTTTTTTAATATTAAACTTTTATAGTTTGCTTTGGTACATTTTTTATTCTGTTTATTTATTATGGTACTCTTGCATATGCCCACAATTTTGATGGGAGAAATTATAATAAAAACATTTAAAATATAAAAAATTACTACACCAAGAACATAATTCGATATTCGCAGTTTTTGCTATCACCTTGTATGAATTTATAAATATTCTTCAGACAATTGTTTAGACATGCTATGATCTAATAAATGAATAATTCTCGAAATATATCACTTTAAATTTACAAATTTATTGTAAATTTTTATTTCAAATTATTTCTCATCTTATAATACTATATAATAATAAATTGTATTATTTTTGCATCAACAGGAAAACGGCGGCCTTTTGAGGATATTCCCAGAAGGCTGGCGTGATCAAGTGGCGGATATTGAACCTCTCTTCGACAGAATATTGTTCTTCTGGTCTGATAGGAGAAATCCGCACGAAGTTCAGCCAGCTTACAAAACCAGATATGCAATCACTCTATGGTACTTCGACGCGGAAGAAAGGAATCAAGCTTGCCGTAGATATCAAAGAGAAAGTAGGTACACAATATATGTATGTATCAGTTATAACCAAAGCATTCATTGTCAGTTTTAAAAAGCTCATGTTTCAATCAATAACAGATTTTTTATTGTTCAAAATGATTATAAAAATGTATTAATGGTACTAAAAACAAAATAATACATATTTAATTAAAAAAAGATAAATTTTGAATGAAGAGACAACCAAAATTAGATAAAACTTTACAAGCAACCAATATGTTATTCAAATTTGAAATGATATATGTACATATTTGATTTAACTATTGATTTTTCAGGAGAATTGCATGCGAAGAAAGAGAGTTCGTGAGACATGGAGTCTGAAGGACCGTTACACCGTCCGTCGACTGAAATTGTAACTCTACTAGTTGAACTTATGCATCTGTACATAGTTACACGAAGCACTGGTATATAAACTATTATGTATTATTCTGTATTATGATATAGCTGAGAGTGTAGGAGATGCTGACATCGGAGTATATAAAAATTTAAGGACGTGCAATAGATATAAGCGTGTTCTTCTTTTTTTATATAGCGGCAGTGTAATATATTTTGATAAGTATGTGAGCGTAGTCCTGAGAGTTCATAATTATACATATTAACTATTAATCTTTGTTTTTTCTAACACTAATGCTCATACCTTAATCGAACGTTTTAAATGTAATAAAAGTTTAACATCCGCTTGCCACGATTGAAAGTACGTTATATCGATATGATACTTAGCTTCAAATATTTGGAGCACTAAACGCAGATTGCTAAAATTATATAATGTACAGAGAGAACGAGAAAACGTGTGTGTGTGCGTACGATACGAGTGGAAGTTTCTGCTAGAGAAAAAATCAATCCAAATAATAAAAATTAATGTTTCTACATACACACACACACACACACAACCCAATGCGTTAAAGGATATATATATATATATCATTCTTCTATATATATGTGTGTATATATATACATATATGTATCCTTTAACGCATTGGGTTTTATACATTCTTCTATATATATATGTATATGTATGTATGTGTGTGTGTGTGTGTATATATATATATACGATATATATATACGATATATATATATATCGTAAAATTTGCTGAACAGAAATTGTGTCTTAATTATTATATTTACATAACTTACGTATGTTCCCTTTAACTGTACAGCTGGTATTATTGATAGCAGTTCAGCTCGTTATTAATACGAAATTGTAATATTTGCAGATCATACTATCGCGTTTTATTATTGCATCTCATACGTTATACGTTGTTTTACAAAGTTATGATCCTTATAATGTTTAATTAAACGGCCAGTAATTGACTTATGCTTCCAGCGCAGTGAATTGAGATATGCCGCGGCCCAGTCTGTACCTGTAATATTGTTATGTACATTGCGAAGAGGTAGAAACACATGTGTTTAATATTGTATGTATCTATTTATATAAATCGATAAGAAAAATAATTAAATAAACGCGTATTTCCTGTGTCCCAGATAGAAAGTCTGATATACAAATTTGTTAGGCAGTCTGAAGAGAAGTGAGGAGAGTGTTAAATTTGCCTGAGGTGTATTATGTTGATAATATTAAACATATTCGATCATAAGAGTCACTAAGTTATTCTTCAATATTATTTCGTTGCATTGCTAAACAACATGGACCAAGAAGTTATCCAGTATTCTCAATGAATAAAATAAAATAAAGTAATTTTTAATTATAATTAAATTATTTAATAAAGATTAAGTTATTTTCAATAACCAAACTTGGCTTATGAGATCTGTGATGTGAAAGGTACAGTAAATTACTATTATTATTGAATTTACAAAAATATGTTACTTGTTAATACTTTATTTCAAACGTCAATAATAATTTGTTGTTAAACACCATCCATATCTTTGGGAATAGCACAATGTTCAACTAAATTTAGCGCTGGAACGTATACTTTGAAGGAATGGTCGTTTTTTGAAAATGATCCTGGATTGATTATATGACAATTAGAATAGGTAGTTTCATATGCTTCAAATCCATCTGCAGTTACAATGAGATCTGGAGTAGGATATATTTGTAATGCATGATTGTATTTCCAATATATAGGTAACATTGGAAGACTTAAAGGAGTCAGATGAGATTGAGAGATAATTGATTTTGCATACTGAAACATTTATCAAAAATAAAGTTACACACTTTTATATAACATACATAAACAATCAGTAATATAATAAAGCTTACATGATCGTGGATATTGCCTTGAAATGGAAAGTAAAGAGTATTCCTACACATTTTCGTTAAAATATCTCCCCTTAGTACCACAATTTCTTTCGTACAATACTGAATTCTACATGGATTAGTAGCAAATATTGCTCCAGGTATATTTTTCCTAAAATCTTCTGTAAGATTTTTGGGCAGTGGCAATTTTGGCAAAATTTTTGGTGATCCAATATCATCTATTGCAGGTACAAAAATAAATTTGGAAGATTGGTTTATATCTGGATATTGTATTATTATATCAGCAAGATTTTTTAATCCCTCTATCAATTTTTGCCTGCTTGATGGTTTTGCAGGAAAACTTAAAAAATGTCCACATAATACAAAAGCTATAGGTGGATATTCAGAATATCCTTCCAACATAATTTTAAATTTGCGTAAAACAATTTTATCATCTAACCACATTTCGGATACAAAAACAATCATTCCATCTTTGTTACTTTCTTCATAAGTTTTTAGTTTTTCAGAAAGTTTCAAAGAAAACTTGCTCAAACCACCAAACGTATTAGCATTGCCGAAATCTACACGTGCATTACTAGATGATTCTGCTGGTGGAAAACCTAAATTTTTCACATGTAAAATACCATCCTTGAAATCTCCATTAGCTATTACTATAGAGCATTCCATGATCAAACCATCCTGAAATCTGTATACAAATATTAAGGAAAGTGCAATTAACAGAAAATTGATTTAACATACTGAAACATTTATAAATATTCATGTTTACATAAATGATTACATAAATCTGGAGTTTCAAAAGGATATTGCTTTTTGTAAATCAACTTTTATTGTACCTCCTGTGTCTTCCAAATAATATTCACCCTCTACTAATTGAGAGAGAAGACCCATAACATAAACATTTCCTTCTTTACTTCCACTCAACAGATGTTCAATTGGTACTAATTCAATCCAATCTTTTTTTCTTTCACCAGGCATTGGAGGAGTAAATAATTCATGTCTCATAGTTCTGTACCAAAGCAACTCAAATCTATCTTTAAAAAGTATGGATTTATATTGTGCTTCGGCAACCAAATTTGGTGTTACAGTTTCCAAAACAAATTTGTTCTCAAACAACTCATATTTGATTCTAGGTATATCAAATACATCTATAACATTTAGTACTGTTTCTGTATCCTTTAACGCATTGGGTTTTATACATTCTTCTATTGCTAGCTTCAAATTTTCAATGGTTATCTGTGTATCACTTAAATTTTGAGCTAAAACTTGCTCTATTACTTGCATTAGCCACATTTCACGTTCATTTTCTTCTACATTTAGAAGTTCCTTAGCAAGTGAAATGCTAAGTTTCCTAGGCAACAAAAAATTTCATTCGTAAAAAATTAAGAAATAAAATTAAGATTCGTTATACTTACATAATACTATATGTAATACATTAAAAATTTATATACCTTGAAAGTACAAGTCCGTATAACGAAAAGGTACTTTGTACCGCATTTATTAATTTTTCACCAGGCATAATTACAGATGCTTATATTACATTTATATACATTATATCCTACGGAAAATATTTCTTTCAGATTAGCAATATTGATAATATCATAAAATTAACAATAAATAAAAATATAAAATAAACATTAAGCTTTCATATAACACTATTACTTTCATCTAATCATTCTAAAGTCTAAAGAATATTAAATATTATCGCAACAATTTCCCGCTTTTTGCTGAAATATATATATGTGACTTATGTTATCCTAAAACCATCTAAAATTTCCACTTACAAAATATTTTCTGGCTGAACTTCGTCTTAATGGGAATAAAACTATTGCTCTTTAGTAGTTTTCAATGCGTAGAATCTGAAAATGCAATTTTTAACTTCAGAAATCCAGCGATTCAAAAGTTATGCGTACATAAAGTTGAGCATTTTTAACATATTTAATAGTTTACTTTGACGTCATGGTGCCTTCTATCTAAGATTCGTCCAATGAGTGGAATCGCTGGCTGTAACAAGTGTACGTATGTGACAGGCTACGTTAATATGTCAATTTTTGACAAAGTTCATTTGCATTATGCGTCGACACTTTAATTATAGACATTAAAAATGTTTAACTTTACATATGTGTAACTTCTGAACCGCTGGATTTCTACAACTATGACTTGCATTTTCAAATTTTACGCATTGAAAATTATTAAATAGCAACAAAAAAAATCAATAATTTAATTTTCATTAAAATAAAGTCTAACCTGTTTTCTTTTTCTAACTGTATACATAGTTATGTAGTTGGTTAATTTTTGTTCTCTTTGTAAGAATTGGAAGAATTGGAGGACGTGGAATGATGGTTTGGCTTCGCTTTTGCATCGGAGATGGCACGTTAAATTCCCCTATACTCTATATCTGTCCAACGAAACAGGGCAGTAAATGCAAATAAAACTTGATTGCTGCGATTGCAACTATTGGCTGCTGACTAGTGACATTCGAGAGTTACACTATTGTTTATCATTTTAACTGCATAACTTTTTAATTACAGAGTGTTATAATTAATAATTGATAGGTGACAATTATCAAATTATTACGAAACGAAATTCATGGAAAGTTTTGATAGAGCATATAAAATATGATTAGCCAATCAATTTTAAGTACACTTAATATATTTAGGTTATGTATTATATTCAAGCAAAGTACGATCAAGTGTGGATGATTATAGTACGATAGGTCGTGATTGTAATCTGTAAGTATTAAAACACATTGTGATTAATTACAAATTGATAAAAAATTTTGTAAGTGATAATGAAATATATTTTGTTTGCAAAAGATATCTTTCATATGTAAGTTTTTCAGGAAGATAATATAAATCAGGTATTAGTTAAATACATATAAGAGATATAGCTGGATATTTTCTGTTTTTCATAAACGTAAACAGAAAGATTATATAAAAATGGATTATCAGTTATGGGGGATTACTGCTGCCTTAATTGGTCTTCATGTTGTGTGGTATAAAATACAATGTAGAATACCAGAAGAAGATCGACGTCCACATCCCTTTGTAAGAGTCTATCAGCAGATTATGAAGAAAGATAGTACATAATTAGAGATAATATACTTGTATAATGTATAATAAATGTTTAGTAAACATAATTTATAAAGTAATATTTATTTAGTTAGCATAAGAAATAGGATGATAATGTTTAATAAAATTAAGAAAAGCTAAACTTATGTGAGAGGCTGTATTTTGTAATTAACTTTCAAGAAGAACAATCTATTAATATATATGTACCTTATAAATAAATGAATATATATATATATATATAATAATATACAATAATATTATTTTATACAAAATTTTATTTTAAGATGTATATATAATATAGATACAATAAATAAATAAATATATATATGATATTGAAATCATATTAGTTAAACAAAATCTCTTCAGTAGTTATAAACATAAACGTGCAAAACAAAAATAAAATTTATTAACAATCATTAATTGATATAATGAAAATCTATAAAGTTTAAATAAATATATATGTATACGTGTATAATTATATTACAATCACAGAGGAGCTTAATTACAGCCTTTAATCATAGGCAGATGATCGAAGTCCTGCTGCTGATGATGCATGGAGGAGCTTTTCGGCCGATTTTCATTTTGACTATGTACTGAAGCACCAGGCTTGGGAAGTTGGGGTAATACCATTTGACTGTAATTACTATTCTAAAATACAATAGATATACAATACAGGTAAGGGTATTTTTGTTACCAATTTTGTATGCAATATATTATCTTGTTGTATATTTTAGTATTTGATATAAATTTTGTAGTAAGAAAAATGTTATGTATCTTTTCTATCTGGTTCATTATTCATTGTATTCTTGTTATTATAAAATTGTACATACTCGTGATCGATCTCGATATTTTTTAAGCTTATCGAATTCCTCCATTTCAACTTCGGGCATTTTGAAATGAAAATTCTCAAAATAAGAATGTTGTAGAAGTTGTTCACAAGACCATCTTTCGTCAGGATCTTTGTTCAAACACTTCTTAAGAAAGTCAAGCTGTTAGATGAAATGAATGGAGTCAATTAAATCTTCCTATGATCAATTTACTAAAAATTTTTTATTTAAACCGTTTATTTAAGATAAAGAAAGCAATGTAAAAATTCACCTGTAGAATTGTATTGCCTCTATTAGGTAGAGCAGTTTCGAGGGGCGTGAGGGTTTGAGGAGTCGGTAAAGTGATACCAGCGAAAAATTCATTTTGCTGAAAAATAGCTATGTGTCTCGGCAATAAGTCACCAATAGTCCTTCGAATTAAATACAATTGATCCACGTCTGATTTTCCTGGCCATAACGCTTCTCCACGTATTAATTCTGCGAAAACACAACCAATTGCCCACACATCGACTGGTGTACCATATTGAGTATCTCCTACCTGTTGAAGACCACGTTCTCTTAGTAATTAAAAATAACTTAATTATTATAATACAAGTCGATAAAATCTAGAAGTACGAAAAAGATCCAAGCAGAATACGAATAAATATCCTTAGTGAATTAATTAATAAAATACATTATTTAAACGAACCAAAAAAATTTTTTTATTAGTATGCTAGATTAATATCTATATTAATTTTATTTTTTGTTTTAACCAATTTATCGTTAATGTCACGCACAAAATTTCAACGGTTAGAGATAATGAATTATTAATAACAAGTGCGTATAGAATGGAATCTTAAAAAAGTAATGGAAAGAAATGATTATATTTTGAAAAAAAAATTACCAGCAGTTCAGGCGCTCTGTACCATCTAGTTGCGACGTATTCTGTGTAATTTTCACCAGGACTGAGCATTCGTGCGAAACCAAAATCGCACAATTTCACTACGCCATCGGCTGTAATTAAAATATTTTCCGGTTTCACATCCCTGTGAACGCAACCTAGTCGATGACAATACGCGATGCCCTGCAGAATTTGCCATGTAAGCTGCTTCGTGGTGATTTCTGGACATCCGCTCGGATACCTCTCCATCTCGTTCAGTAGTGTGTACTCGCAATATTCGAAGACTAGGTGCAATTTCCGTTTCCGTCTGAAGACCTCCAGAAGATTGACTAAATTCGGATGTTTCAAATTCTAGAAATCAAATTATCTTTATAATCAAAACGTTTTTTAAATATACTGCACGCAATACAATGAGTTTGGGAAACTCAAGGATTAAACAACCAACAGTTCAACTTTTTTTGGTACAATAGTATGAAAGTGACACATAAAAGAAAGTTTAAGATTGATACATTATGAATTACAGTAATTTTTATACTGAAAATTGTTTACTATATCGTAAGGTAAAACTACGCGAGTTAAGTATAAGATCGTTATTCGAAAGCGTTGATTCGAAATAACAGAAGTCGCGTAGGATATTCTTCGACGTTCGTCTGTCTTGATGATTGTATTAAGAATGAATGAGAATAATCCTAAGTGTCGGAATCATAAAACCGTTAGGGCCCGCAAGTCCACGATGCAGGAAGGGAGAGGGCTTCATTTATGTTATCTTCAAGTGTTCGCCTTCACGTCTTGAAAAGTTTCGCCAAAGACGACCAAAAACAAGCATCTTCTATTTCCAGTGTTCTTTATATTTTTGTTTACTACGAGAAGATACGGGAAAGTTAGTTTTCTCACATTCGGTATTTTCCGTTAGCAATTTTCTCTCATGGGCGGCTAAGACCCTTCCTAGTCCACCAGGGTTCTTGTGCTCCAATCAAAAGCAACGTCTATCGCCCTTGCTTTCCTAAACAAAATTGTCCTTAACGAATCAGCTCATCTTGTGGTCTCAGACACACCCACCCCTAGCTTTCCTCCGCCACACATCGTCACTAAACCATTCATTCTCTATCTTTAGAATAGTCAACACCTTTTACCGAGTTTCTACCCTTAGACCGGTCGCGTACTTAACGTATCAGTGTAACTAAGTTTTACATGAAGTTGTTGGAGTGAACTGTGATTTATGTGTGTTAATTCAGCGTATATTCCACTGTGATTGCTGAATTCATAATAAAGTTTAATAAAAGCAAAATTGATAGTTGCGTTACGACTCAGCTATTTTATTTTATCATCCAACCCCCAAGTTTACATGACAGTCGCCTCGTAGCGCGCTGTAAATTTAATTAGCTACCGTTGCGAATATCTTTTTATATCGTAATATGAAGAATTTAATTAATTATTTTTCGATACTCTATATTCGATTGACAAAATCGTTTTGTCGTTGGAACAGATTTTCAAAAAAATTTCTTACAGTATCGCGTCACATGTAATTGTGAATGATTATTTAGATTTGTAAAGTATGGAATAAAAATAAACAGATCAATGGATGATGGATATAAAGAGATTGCTAAGCGACGAGCGTGTCGGTCTTTCTTATGACTGTATCATAGACACATTTTGTAGGGCAGAATTCATAGTAGTACTGACAGTTTTTTCAGTTCTCTGCAAATATCTCGAAAATTAGAAGAGTCTGACGGCAATATGCAAAGAAAGAAGTTGTTTAAAATTTTTATTTCTATTACATATTAGAAGATCATGTAAATCTAAGATGATGTCAGTTTCGTAGTTACCTTCTTATAATATATAAGCTTTCTTTCACCACATCGACTTTGATAATTTTTGAATATGTGTAGAAATCAACATTATGAACAACTTTTCCCATATATATAACTATCGCTCAACTTTAGTTTCCGGGATATTCGCAAAAAATTGTTGGCAGTGTAGGCACCATAAACAATAAGTATTACCAATAATTGTGCGTTCCTAGTGTATACGTTAGTATTGACGTTAGTATTCTTATCTTTTTTTTGTAGTTTATATAGATCTTGAATATATTAAAAAATTATCGAAATCAGAAATTTTTTGCTTTGGTTTGTTATTGCGGACAGCGTTTGCGATCAAAAGTCGTGTGGAAAGAAAATCATTAACATCACGCCCCGTATTTGCTGTACGGACGAAAGAAGTTATCCTTGAGGCGAAATGTCAGAACAGAGTGGACGCTCGTTTGAATGCGCATATGTTTGGAAGAGAACTCTTTGATTATTTCGATAAGGTTAGGTCATCGAGAGCAGAACACGCTAAGATATTGACCGCCACGGTATTGACCGTTGGCCACTTCTTGCAGTCGACGTCGACGGTGAATTTATATTGCTACGTTGCTGTGCAAGAGCACGAATTTTTCTTCCACGAGCTGATCGATATTCTTAAAAAACTTTATGAAATGTCAAACATCTATATTCTAATTAAGGCTAATAATACTTTTGAGAATTTCTCCATATTTTTTGAACGAAGTTTTCTTAATTCGAGACTAGCCACTGCGAGCTGTAGTACCTTCAGCTTGTAAGGGGTCGTTCACTTGAAGGTATGGGTATACATATATATATACGTAAAGCGTTAGAACCATGTTGGAAGAAGAGAGAAGTAAAGAAAGACATGAGACTTATTTTCAGATTGATCCTAGCCTTGTGATATCTAACAGTTCCTTTCTTCTCCACCCTTTCTTTTTGTGTACATACTACAGGCATAGGAAAGGAATCTCTTTTCAACTTATTAAATATTGAAACTGCTGTTCTATTTTGTGATATTATACGATCTCCGTCTTCTTTCAATTTAAGACATTTTATCATCTCAAACACAGTATATACGTATCAGATTGATAAACAAAATATTTAATTTTTTTCAGGTGGCGATAATATTTATGATAAAGATTACGATGATACAGAAATTTTGAAATGATCATGCTTGTTCTGCTATATCGCTACCATGTGACTTATGTAGTATGATTTGACAATAGGTCTTGCAGTAACGATAAGTCAAACGATAGTGATTATATTGTATAAGTGGCCTAAGAATTTTACACATTACTGTATTTTCAAGCATAACGACTGACCTTAAGAAGCCTTATTTCACGTAGTGCGATTTTGCGTATAAGAGGATCATCCTCAGTTTGTTGGAACTTTTTAACAGCTACCAATTTTCCAGTTTGCCGATCTCTACACTGGAAGACTACACCGTAGCTACCCTCCCCAAGACGCGCCAGTCGTTCGTATCGGTCCATCGCCTTGCTTGGCGCGCGTGACCTATAAAAAAAATAAATTCTTTATAA